ATATTCTAACAGATTCTCACTCTAAGGAAAATAAAATCTTGATTTTTTTTTTTTAGAGACAAAATGTCCTAACAAGGAGGTGGAGGCATCTAGAGTGAGAAAAAACACTCCATTCAACTAATCTTCTTGGATGCTGATCTACACCTTAACCTAAAATAATACTTAGGTTAAATCATTTGCAGGTGACTTTATTGCATGACTTGAGAAAAAATAAAACACTAAATTTTTAAAAGGATAATCAAGTGCTTACTTCGGAAGATTCCAAAACCATTGTCTGAGACTTACATTCTTAAAACTCTGTCTCCCTAAGCTGAAGAATCTGACACCAGTCTCAGAACTGCACTGTCTGCCCTCCCAGGATCTACCTATCTGTGGTGTTTTGCTATGTGCTGTGGATGGCAAGGTCACAGGAGCATCAGTCATTTAAATCCAGAAGGGTGCAGCCTCCAGTCTGACTATGGTGAAGGAAAAATATCAACCCCACCAAAAACCTCTAAAGTTGTATGGGCCTCCCAGAGGCTTTGGAGAAGCTGTGAGACAAGACTTCGCCATAAACACTGACCAAGACAGATTCTCAAAGCTGTGTGTGTGTTGGGGTTTGGGTGCTTTTGTTTTTGTTTGTTTGAGATAGGGTCTCATTATGTAGCTCTGGCTGCTCTGGATCCTGCTATGTAGACCAGGTTGGCCTCAAACTCACAGAGATCTACCTGCCTCTGCCTCCTGATTGCTGGGATTAAGGGCATGCACCACCATGCCCGGCCACACATTTGTTTTTTAAACTAGTGTAGTGATTTGTGCCTGTAATCCCTTACCTTGGGAGGTAAAGACAGAAAGTTTTTGAGGTTAGCCTGAGCTACACAGTAAATTCAGAGCTAGCCTGGGTCATATATCAAGACCCTATCTCAAATACAGAAAAATCAGCTGCCCAGAACTCGAGAATGTCTTTTCTCAACAACACACACACACACACACACACACACACACACACACACACACACACACTTTCATGCGCGCACAGGAGTAAATGGGTTCCTAGTTAATCCAAACACATAAAACCTATTTTAGATATCAACACAGATGAAAAACTATACATTAACTAAGTCAAATGCAATTAATATCAGCATGCTGCCCAATGTTTAAAACCTGTGCTGCTCCTCTGCAGCCCAGCAAGCTTTGGGCTCAACCTGCTTTAACTCTGGCTTATTACAGCTGACTTAAGCCTCCCTCCCACAGCCGGCCTGGATGACTCACTGGCCTTTGCGCAGTCCCAGTTTCCCTGGTTCAGCCCTGCTCCCCTTGCCTTTGGCACCTTTGCCCCACTCTCCTTTCCCTAGTCTACAGTGGGCTCACTCGCTGCTGGGTAAGGAACCTGTGGGAAAACTGCAAAAATGCTGCTTTCACAGCTCAGGATTGCTAGGCAGGTGGAAGCACAGAGACAAGAGTACAGAAGGGCGAGAGAAGGGCTCTGCTGACAGCAAGGCCTCCTCTTAGACCACAAGGCCTTCAAATCAGGATTTCAAGGGGGAGGAATGACAGCCATTCCCTAAGACGTTTTAAGCTGTGACCTAGTGGCCTCCTTTCTCTCTCTTGGGCCCAGACCTGTACCTGCACCTGGAATAAAGAACTAAACATGAACTATGTGCAGTTACTTACAGCACATAAGCCTGGCTTCTCAAGTCTGTTATCATCTATTCCCTTCTATGCCGCTCCTCCCTCCTCCCTTCTACCTTGTCCAAAGTGAACTCAAGAAACCAGTTAAGCTGGCTATGTATGTTATAACTTCTACTACCAAACACACACACAAAAGTTGTCATGAAAATGTGGAGTACTGTACCCTGAGCAGAGGAGGCCTACAGACTACCCTTCATCAACACAAATGCGCATCTATGCTCCATGAACAGTGACTATTCAAACCATGTGGCCAAAAGAAAGATGGCAGCTCAGGAGACATACGGCTTCACTATGGGTATTCTACTGACTTTCTAAGGTGTTTCTATGCCAAATGCCTGGTAAACAGGAAACCATTAACAAACCAATTAGAATAGTATGTAAATGCAATGGATAAAGCAGACAGTGTGATACAGAGTAGGGAATATTTAGATGTGGCCATTAAAATTTGTTATGAACAAGTTTAATTGGATATAGCCTTTGAGCTTAATCATTTTAACACACTCAAAGTGAAAGCAGAGAAGAAAAAAACCCAAATGACAGGGCATTAGACCTCCTACTCCAAAACCACCAACTGGTAGTTAAGGCCCACATCTCTGCCTTTTTTCTAACATAAACCAAGATCAACTTCTTTGTCATGAGTATCTAAGCATTTAATATAAAAAGTCAAAATTATTACTGTTTTTCCAAAAATTACAGCTCTTCCAAAATTTCAATTCCAATGCATAATGTGTTAATATGATAAAAGTGACTTTTTTATGTGTTAGCACCCAAAAGGCTACATTCTATATTTGCTAGATATGTGATTTTGAAAAGCCCAGGTGTAGACTTTGTTTTGGCTGTGTTTAACTAAACAGCTCCATTTGATATAAGAGTTCAAAATTATATTTTTCCAGAAACCATTTGCCCTAGGGCAAAAATGTCTTAGGCCATCAAATACACTCTACAAATCTATAACCTTCCTACTGTAACAGTTCAAAATGATACAATTTATTTGTGCTTATGTAGAAACTCCAAGGAGAGAAATACATAAAGAACTCATAAAAGAGAAAGAGAGCAGCACACGCCCACAGTGCGAGGCACTCAGGCAGGGGCTCTTCCTGAATAATTTGCATCCTTTCATCACTCTCCCCACCGTTTCTCAAGAGCATCTTGGTCTCCGCCCATTTTTATTTCCCTCTTTCCAAACATCTGACTCATCACCTCTTCCTCAGCATCACCTCATAAGCCTCCCTTTTACTCTGAAGCCCCTTTAAGCCAGATTTTCATTACTCAAGGAAGAAATGTTCTTGGAATAGGGAGCACTGTGATTCAGTCCCCAGCAGAAGGAAGGTGGAGAGCACAGAAGTGGAAGGGGAGCACAGGCGCTCTGGGTATGTTCTTTTAAAACCTGAACAATGGTTCTCCATACGTGGCAGCAAGGCTAAACAGACCATCACCACGCAGTCTCTCCTGGGTTAGAAGCAGCTCAGCCTGCACAAGGTAGCTCATTACAGAAGAAGGAAGCAGTCTCGGGTTTCGTAAGTAGATAGTTAAGAGCACGGATGAATACCTTCCCACTGACCTGCTAGCAAGAGGTCAGTTGAGTGTCTCTGTGGCTACTCTCACTTCTAAAGTTTCGCCCATGATATTATTTTATATGTCCCTCAAAGCCTAGAAGCCAGTTTTCACATGAGTGGCCATATAAAAATTCTAATGCCATTCAAAATCTTTTACATTGAAGGAATGAACCATCCCTGTGCTCTCAACTTTTCTTTCTGAGTCTCAGAAGATGAGATAGCTCTGGGATAGAAAGGGGGTGAGAGATAGGACTGAGAACTCCTAGGTGCGGCTCTGGCTGCAATGTGACTGGAGGATCACAACAGTGTCTAACTCCAAAGAATGCAAAATGAAATTACCTGCCAGAGAGCAGGCAGAGATGTTCAGCTCTGCACAATTGTGTAAGAAGCTCTGATGCAATCAATGCTCAAAGCAGTATCACAGGATGAAGAAAAAGAGGCTTCCTCCCTAGCTACTGCAGGTATCAGTGCAACAGCACAGCAAAGGATTTAAAGAAGAAACACTCCATTGCACCTGTCTTTTAACCATTTCCAGCTACAACACCTTATGAAACAGCTTATCTTGCCGTGTCAAAGTTGTGATCTCCTGAAAAATATCACACTTTTCTAGAGAAATCAATGAAGCATCCATGTCAAAAAAGTCGTTTTTCTCATACAAAAAAATGATTCCAGCAAGTATTCTGTCCACAACATACCCCTCAAATATCATACTATATTTGTGCTGTAACCACTGACTTATTTGATCTAACAACAAACACAAAAACTGCAGAAGTCAATTTTCACTTGCAAGGAAGACAGGAATCATAGCCCGGCTTAATCTCCTCTGCTGCGACACAGAACCACACTGCAAATGACTAGAAAATTTAAACCATAAAATTCTTCCTACAGCCCTTTAAACATATTGATGATTCTGAAAACTTTTAAATGTTTTATCACCAAAGACAGCGAAGCAAATGAAGAAATGATAAAACGTGAAAATTTAAGTTACAAACGCCTCAGCTGGGAAGGCTACACAAGTCACCCAAACGACAGTGCAGCCTGGCACACTGAACAGCTAAAGGCAAAGTTCAGACTTGAAGCTGTGGATTTGCAGCCTCCTGGGCTAGGCGCTGCTGCCGAGACCCCCTTCCGAGGACTGACTTCCCCTCCCTCTGACTGCACTGCACTGCGCAAAGCCACCATGGACAGTCTCAATAGATTTGGTACTGGGAAGCTGCAAAAACTACCGTTCTTCAGGGAGTCCAATAACGCTATTTTACTTTTCAGTCCAAATTACACTATAGGTGGATGAGCTAAATGGAAGAAAAGAGGGTTCTGTCAAAGGCGTCGGGAAGCTTAAGTAGACAGAGATGGGTACCATTAGGGCGCTCCTCCATCTCCAGGCCTGTATCAGTAAATTTTAAAGCCAATCCTGTGAATAAGAGAACTAAGAGACGTTCGGGAATGCGGGCGCCCAGGGCAGGGTGGTACCCGCGACGGGCTCCTGCCTGCATCCACCGAATCTGATGTCAGCTCCGGCTCCAAATGCGAGATGATGGAGCTCCGAGGACAATCGTGCGGAGGTGGGAGGGCGCGGGGGGGGGGCTTAACGTTCGGATCCGATTAACCCGTGCATAACCGCGGCGCCCGCGCCCCAGCATGTGCGAGGACACCCGGGCGCCCCAACCACCGCAGGGTCCTGGGGATGCAGGGCCGGGCCCGCGCTGAGGCCGGGGACTGGCGTCTGCGGCGGCCCGCAGGACCCCGCGAGGATGGAGAGGCCAGCGCCTTTACCTGCGATGGACCACGTCCAGCGGTAGAACTCCACCGTGTCGTTGAGCGCCGTGGACATCGCGCTCAGGACGCTGCCGGGCTCGGAATCCAGCAGCCCCATCACGGTGCCGGGAGATGCGGGCGGCGGCGGGAGGAGCGGCCCCAGGGGACGGCGGGGGGCGGCGGAGGGCGGCGGGGACCGTGCTCCGGGCTAGGCAGCGTCTCCTCCTCCTCCCGGCGCCGCGGCTCGGGGATGCGGGCGGCGGCTAGAAGCTGCGGAGCAGACGGTGCGGAGGGCGGAGGGGGAGGACCCGCAGCGAGCGCCCAGCGCTGCTCCTCTCTGCTGCCGTGCGCCACCGCAGCCCCAATCCCCTCGCCCGCGTCACGTGGCTGCGCGGGGCGGGGCGGCGCCTCCTCCCGCCCAGGGGGCGCGGGGATGCTGCGGTCCCGAGTGGCGGCCGGCCCCGCGCAGGCGCGTTGCAGCCTGGCCCCGGCCACCACCCCCGGCCCTGGAGCGCCTGAGGGGGACGCCTGGCTCTCGGGTCCCCTCCCTCTTCTGCCTCCTCCTTCCCTGCCCGCGTCGCCAACCCACGGTGACCTGCAGGATGCGACATGGGAAAGAAGGGATGGTTTGTGGGCAAAGATGAAGTAGGCGAGGTGCTTCGGTCCTCACCTGTCACTCACCTCCATTTCATTTGTGTTCTTGTTGACTTGCCTTTGGCACCCAGACAGGGAGATGCAGATCTCCCTCTAAGTGAATGCCGTTTGCGGCATTGAAAGTTAGACTGTGGTCAAGCCCTAAACACATTATCGTTGTTAAATGCTTGCGTGTGTTCAGTAGTCTCAACATACACGGAATGTTCAAAGCAAGGCAATTGTGTCAAATTACGCCACTCCTTGTTCTGAAGAGGGAGAAGGTACTTAGTAGCTTAAAGAAGTCTGCTTGGCCCAGAAGACTTTTGTGTCACTCTGAAAGGATGATGCTTAGGAAACAAAGGGCAATCGGCTCCAGAGGGGGGAGCAAAGTAGTGGTTTTTCATTTTGAAAAATAGTTCAGATAAGAAGGTGGAGGCGGGTCTGGAGACATGGCTCAGAGGTTAAGAACACTAGTTGTTCTTGCAGAAGACCCAGGCTCGAATCCCAGCACCCACATGGCAGCTAACAACTGTCCCGGGGATCCGACAGCCTCTTCTGACCTCCGCCGGCATTGCACGACACAGATGCACTTACCTATATGCAGGCAATACATGTATACACATAAAATAAAACTAATAAATAAAATTTTTTAAAAGGTGGAGGCAATGGAAGAGGCTTACCCCCATGAAAACCAGCAAAAAACACGCCATATGAAATTCACAATTTGATAGTTTCTGGCATAAACCATGATCTTTGAGAACAGCCCAATAACAGTTTCATCTACTATTTATTCAAATGTGCCACCTGCTTTTTCCCCCCATCCACTTGCTGATTTGGGATGCTTATTTTAAAGGCCACGGAGTCAAATGTCTGACACTGTTAACACTGATATTGCCTGAACCCTAACTCAGTTCTATAAATAATAGTAATAAATATTTATGGTGACAAAATTATAACTCACACCACTTTCAGAGCATAATAAGGGTTATTTAAGTAGAAGAGCTTCAGGGAAAGAAAGTAATTAAAAGTCACTGAGTTATTGTATCACACAAGCAACCAGTCTTCTTTAAATGCTTTACCCTGAAATTAACCAAATGAGATATGATTTATTAATTTGTCAAGTCTATTTGCCAAACTAGAGCTTCCTGAGTTGAAATAATTTCTCATCTCAATCCATAGTTATGATTCTAGTAACTAAAAAAATTCCAGTCAATTCTCTCCTTTTGGAGAATGCGTAATAATAAACTTGTTTCCTTTGATAACCTAAGTGCAGATTAGTTTGAATTGCTTATAAAACTGATTACAACTTCTATACTGTGGAACCCAGGATGTTCTTAGAGAGAAAATATCCCTATCCTCACCGATATTCACATGCACAAGGCTTCACCGTCTCTGCCTATCTTACACAATGTGAAATTGTTCCAGCAGCTTTATTTTCATAGAGGCTCCCCTTCCACAGTGGAGGCCAATTTAAGTCCCTATTCACTAGGCAGCACCAGTCACATAAGAAAATCAGACAAGACATGGGTTGTACCTCTATCACTTTGCCTTACTTGGAAGCATAGTAATTTTTACTTATATTTATGAGCTGCTCAAACATACATGAAGAAAGAGTTGTAGAATGTATCCACTCAGAGCTCTACTACCTGGCAGGAAGATTACAGCCTATTAATTCATAAGTGGTTGACAAATACCAGTGATTGCCCAGAACCAAAGCCTGCTGCTGTGGTTTGAATATATCCCTCAAGTTTCCTGTGTTGGAAACTTCATTTCCAATACAACAGGGTTGAGAGGTTAGGCCTGAAGGGAGTTGTTTAGGTCATAAGGGCTCCACCCTGGTGAATGGATTAATATAAATTACAAAGCATTTTAAGTGGTGAGTTTGGCCTGCCACAGTACATTCTTCTTACATGGCTACTTTCCACCATAGGATGATGTGTCATTAAGGCCTCAATCCTGGACTTCCTAGTCTTTGGCACTATAAGAAATCTATGTTCTCTATAAGTTACTGAGTCTTTGGTATGTATTTTCAGCAGTACAAAGCAGGCTAAGATGGAAAATATTGAAAAATGAGACTGATGATACTGCAGATATCTGGAAATGTGGGCATGGCTTTGGAACAGGATAATGGGTGAGGCTGGAGGAGTATAAAAGGTTGATTAGAAAAGTCTAGATTTCCCAGCGTCAAGCATTTAGGCAGGTGTGGTGCAGGCTCAGAAGAGAAAACTGTGGGGAAAGAACAAGTCTTCCTACAGATTACTTACGTGGTCACCAGCAGAATGTTGGTAGAAACATGAACAATATAGGCCATTCTGATGATGACTCACGTGGAAATGAGGAACAAAGTACTAGAAACCGGAGTAAAGGCCATCCTTCTTAAAGGGTGGCAACGAAATTGACTGAATTGTGTCCATGCCCAAGGGATGCGTGGAAGTCAGACCTATGTGTGATGAGCTAGGATATCTGGTAGAAGAAATTGCCAAGCAAAATATGGAAGAAGTTTTACAACTGCTTTTAATTGCCTGCCATTAGGTATGAGAAGTAATATCCAAAAACTCTCCTCTGACTTAAAACTCCTGTCCTTACCAGAACCTGCCCATGTCTCTTTCCGCCATCTTGAATCCTATGAAAGACAGCTGGGACTTGGACTTCTAAAAGGTACCTATATCTGGGAGACTGGTTCAAGACCATTATTTTTGACAGCTATAAGCAAATTCTCCAGAACCAAAGAGACCACACAGCTCCTCTTAAAACTGAAGGTATTTAATCCCAAGATGAAACTGAATTTATTTTGAGCAAGAGATAAGCTGATGTATCCAGAGGAACAAATGACATAGTGACATTGTAATTCCTGGCAGCAAACCACACAAAACCAGGGCAATCTGGACAAAAGTAGTTGGAAACCATGAAATTAGTGGCATATTTGCATCAAATTATGAAGCACCATTTCTGCTAAGACCAATTAAACACAAAATGTTTATGATAGTGTACCCTCAAAGATTTAAGCTAATGAAAAGTTAGCTAAATTAACTTGTACTATTCTGCACATGGATGTTTGCAACAACTTTGCTTACAATCACTTCATGCTGGAAGCAGTTAAAATGTCCCTTAGTAGGTAAATGGATAAGCATAGACTGCCACAAAAGAATGCAATTTTATTTCAAAATACCTAGAACAGCTATCAAGTGAAGGCTTCATCTCAGTTCATCTCAAACAAAAGAATTTAGCAAAAGACACAAACAGGTCAAGTAGAAGTTTATTTAACAAAGCAAAGCAAAGTGAATAGTATGCTCCATAGAAAGACCGGAACAGGCTGACTCAAACTTGGGTTGCAAGTCCATGGGGATCTGCATTGTGGAATTTTCAGTAATTTTCATGAATATTTCTGAAGTGCATGGTATATTTGTTGGGGCAAGATGACCCTTTTGTCCCGCCCCCAAATCATTGGTAATTCTTCCCATGATCCTCTTGAACTATGCACAATGAGGTTGGATGTCAAAACCACAATACAAATGATATCATAAATTAGGGTCTTTTGAAGATGCAGACCCTTCATTCATGTGTATGTATGGCAATTTTGGAAAGTTCCCTGGTGCTTTAGTTTTTAATATAGCCATAAGAATAGAATTGTGGTTTCTAGGATATTTAGCCAGAAAGGGACATTCTGTCAGGAGACATGTCTATGAAGATACAGCTGGAGTTTCCTTGATTCCTCACATCTGACTGACTCCTTGTCTAAACTAAGAGACATAATCACCAATATACAGCTTTCCTAGGTTACCTCACACCTAACTCCTTTCCTTCCTGGTTTCAGAACAACCTCATTGAACGGGGTCAGAGTAAACTTTGCTGACATAAATGAATCGTCTCTAAGACTAAGACAGAATGGACTGCATAAAGGCAGTACTCTTACTCTAGTCTGTTTCCCACAGTAGAATGACTCAACAGCTCTGACATTTACATATGTGTACACTGAACTGAACAATCAAATAAATGGATGTCACATGGTGGAAGATAGGTTCCTTACTATTGAAGTGTAAGTTTAAAGATAAACATATGAGGGGACTGTGGAGCAGGCTCAGCAGCTAAGTGCACTGACTGCTCTTCCAGAGCACCTGGGTTCAGTTCCCAGCATTCACATGGCAGCTAACAACCTTCTGTAAGTCCATTTTCAGGAAATCTGTCACCCTCTTCTGGCCTCTTCAGGCATTGTACACATGTGGTGCACTTACAGGCCATACACTCATTCTCATAAAATAAAAATCAATAAGTCTTCAAAAAATAAATACAAGCATAAGAAGGAAGCTAGAATGATGCAGATTAGAATTGGGCAAAACAGTGTGAACTCATCTGGGGATTAATGTAGACACTAGCAGTTATGTGTATTATTATTATAAATATGTGGAGCTGGGAATGCAGTTCTGAGGTAGAACACATGCTTACCATGAATGATGCCCTGGGTTTGATCCTTAACACTGAAAGCAATTGCCTTTGCAGAGAATTCCAAATAATTTTTGCAGGTAGTCTACCTTCAAGTAATAACATCCAGTCCATACGTGTGGTCTGTACATAGTGACTTCTTCCCAAAAAGTGAAGAATTGAAGCAGGAAGAAAGTAACTTTACAAAGAATAACCTACCTCCACCAGGTAGATCAACAATGAGCGGTAATAACGTTGATAACATGAAACTTTGCTCTGGTGTGATAAAGACCAGCTTGCCTCTTGCCCCTTCTCCACATTCTAATCATATGAAAACTATCAGACAAG